CTCTTTAAGCGCTTCACGGGCTTCCTCTTCTATAAGCGTCTGGCCCAATGCGTGTGAACTGTTGTTATGTCACTGTGTTATTTCTTTAGCCGATATTTATATTTAGCTTTTATGTTTTAAGTCTGTATCCGTGTGTTGAAGTTAATCTTCATTTGCAGTGTTCTGTGGGTAGTTTGGAATACTTGTGTTTTGTTTTGACTATCTCTGGGTTTGGAAGGATCGTGTCTGAAGTTTGTTGTAGTTGCTTTATCTAACTTCTGTGTTTTATTTTCCACAGCATGGGTGTCTTCACTCAGTTCACAAGAGGAAAAGACTCGCCCCGGCGAAAAGGTCTCTGGTGTACTACCTGAAAGGTAGAGAGGTCAGGATGCAGAATGAGTCCAGCTATCACCACTTGTTGCACGGATACGCAGCCCAGCAGCTTCCCAGACTCCTGAAGGAGAGAGAATTTCACCTTGGGACCCTTAATAAAGTGTTTGCCTCCCAGTGGCTGAACCACCGACAAGTGGTGTGTGGGACAAAGTGCAACACCGTAAGTGCGGGCTCTCTTTCACTTCCCTCTGTTGATCATTCCACCCCAAAGTGACGTAATCAAAGTATGTAGACTGCCAAGGAAAATATTAGGAACTAATTAGGAGTGGAGTGAAAATTGAGCGCAGTTGATTTTGAGAGAAGGTAGTGCTTAACAGTGTCCTGTTTAGGGTACTGTCCTAGTGTGAGGCCTGTACCTAGATACAGATAGTCTGGATGCATGTGCAATCTGTATGGAGGATGTGCATCTGTTTGTAGGATGGAGAGTAACAGTGGGGCTGGATCTTTCATCTTGTTCTTGTTCTGCAAATGGAAACCTAATGAATGGCACTAGCTTTGACAAATGGTAGATAACATGCCTGGCTGAAGTCGCTATTAGGTCTTTTTTTGAATTGTGCTCAGTCTTGTATGATTTGGTTTTACGTATGGTTCTGTGCTGAGAATTTTGCAAAGTTGATACAAAACTAAAAACTGTGGTTACGTTCCAGATATTTGTCAGGGTAGCTAGAAATGTTCCGAGCTTTAGAAATGAATTTTGGATGTTCAGGGTTATCCTTTGCTTGTTGACTTTGTGCTCTTTCACTCTAAATCCATTTTCAGTGTTGAAATAACTTCTCTTGTTTGTGTACTGTTATATGCTTCAGCAAAAATTGAAGCCTCTTCAGACTCTTAAAATGAGTTAGTAGCCTGGCTTCGTTGGTTGAGATTACAATTTCACATATGAAGTTCTGACTGAACTAGTGCAAAATCCCAGATTTGTTCTTTTGAAGTTGGTTAGTGCCACAGAAGTGAATTGAGCATTGTAAGGGATATATAGATCGAACAGGTCTTAAAACCTCAGAGTATATCAGTTGGTGTGATTGTTTCTTTGCCTTAACGTTTTTTTTGTGCAAAAGCCATGTTCGGTGATCTGAATTGCAAGAAACAGTGTTGGTGGGGTTTTTTTTAATTTCAGGTGATCTGTTATTATTCATAGTTGCACAGCGGGAGGCTTTCATGCAGTAACTGTATAAACAAAACAACCTTTTAACAGGAATAAGCCTGACGTAGAAAAAGGAGGCAAAGAGATTCTATGTGTGTTCATTGCCTTGGACGGTCAGCAGCCAGCATTGCCCATGAAACAGCTTACAGGAGATAACACAAGCTCTCCAAAATCTTGCTTACTATTGCAAGATGACCATGTGTTTTATAGAGCTGCAACAATTTTGCTGTGTTCTGTAACTTATATACTTTCAGCACCGCTGCAGCGAAGACAAATGGGCAAGTGCACTGTTAATGCAATCTCGCAGAAAATTGTTTGGGACCCAACAATCGCAGAACTGAAGAGGGATTCAACTATATTGTTGTTACCTACACACACACTGCAGCGAATTGTGTGCTTCTGCAGCTAGATTTAACGTTACAGATGGACCTCATCTTTTTATTAAGCAAAATATGATTACAAAAGAAGTCACTTCAGCCTTCTGAAAGATTGTGTATGAATTATGAATACTGTAATAGCTTTAGCTTGGGTGCTTTGTGTTCATATTTGAACAAGTAGAGCGTTAAACTCTACACTCTAATTATGAGACTTTCTCTCTCATCTCCTGAGTAAGTGACCTAATAAAGAAGAATTCCTTGGCTGGTTCTCATACACTGAAGTTGTGGTATTTAAGTTGGAAGTAGCTCTAAAATGACTTGGTTGACTTTAAAGGGGCTCACTGCGCTGGAGTTGCATGTAATTAAAGTTAATGCAACAGAAAAGCTGTAGCGGTTAGTTTAATCAAGCTTGCATGTGGCACTGAAAGCTTCTAGCATTTAATTTATAAATTGCCCTTGGCTGTGTTGTGCCATAAGGATTCAGAGTTTTTAATAACAAAACAAAAATATACTCTTGTCATAGAGGAGTAGGTTTGCTTTTAGTCACTTTACAATACTAGTCACTGTTAACACTGGGCAAAATATGGAGTGCTCCATGAGTTGCTCATTTTTATTGAGAATTATAACTAGTTTAATAATTTGGGGTAACTTTTTTATCTTTAAAATACCCCATGGTGTCATTGTGTGTATGAAATAACTTTTCTCCAGTGGATCCTGGTGCTTGCTCTTGGCTAGCTCTAAGTCAGATGTTTGGGTTTCTTAAAGGTGCATGCTTTTTGTGACAGATTTAGAATTATGGAACCTATACAAGCATTCAGGTGCGTAAAAATTGAAACACAATCACCTGTGCTTTTCCGACGCAGGATGGTTGCTAGAATCCCCTTGATTGTGTATGCAATGGGCTGCTTCATCATATTTTTCAAATTCAAATGAATGAGCAGGCAAACCTCCAAGAGGTGCAGACATTTAGGGTGTGTCACCAGGGCATCCAAATTACCAAAGTATCAGAAGAAGATACTGTCTGTAATCAACATCTCTTGTTCAAGCTTTTAGAGAAACTTTGAGACTTAGGTAGGAGACAAGCTTATGGCAACTGAAAACACTGAACATAAGATTGCTAAAGTTTGAGGTTTTCTATTTTATTACCATTTCAGGAGATGATAAAGAATAAAATTGCTTCTTAAAAGAAGTTCCACTAATAATTTTGCAGCTTCTTTTGTTCCCTTAGTTGTGTGTGTGTGTGTTCAGAATACAATTCTTTTGCTAGTTATGAAGGATGAAAAAAGAGAGATCTGTAAGTTATTCCCTAACTACAAGAAGCTTATTTGTTTTCAGTTGCTTGAAAATACAATTGCATCTCAAATCTAAAAGTTTTGTTTGCCTTTTATTAATACATTTTTAGAAAATTATTTTCCAAGCAGGCTGGATAGGTATCTTTGTGTTTAAAAAATTCCTTACTGAATGCTCTCTTCTGGTTTCCCAGGTGGCTTTTCCAAGGCATGAATGGGTTGGTTTCTGAAAACCAGCTGATACCTTTTCTCTCTTTGGTAGATTCATGTGATCTCTTGGATGCTCTGCTGTAAATAACTAGCTCTTTTTCCTTCTTAGAGACTTTTAGTTTGTTCAGGAGATCCTTTATCTGTTCTATGCATCCCATACAATTATAACCTAGTCTTTCAAGACCAGGGTTGTAGTGGTGAGAATGCAGCGTACAGTAACTCTGCCATCCGTGATAATGAACTCTCTACCAGGAAAATGATTTCTGCTTGCTTTGCAAGTTAACACATCTTCTAGCTTTGCACATATAACAAAGAATCGAGAAGTCTGCTTGTTTCTGATCCCAGTGAGGGAATGAGAAGTCATGCTCCCCCAGTTTGTAACGCTACTTAAAGTCCACTGAAGAATGACCAAAACTCAGTGTAAGTAAACCTCTGATGCCCATAACTGATGCTTCCACTCACCTCTCTTTCAGTGGCGTGTGAGTAAATAGCCAGGTGTTGTTTCTCGTCTCAAGAGTATTTGATTGTCTGTCAACTGCATGTGATACCCATTCAGAGTCTGGTAGTTTCTGTGCCAGGTATGGTGTGGGTGGTAGAGATGCCCTTTAGCAGAAGTCTCCCGCTTCTCCATCCTTTGCCATCTGTCAATCTGTGTTAGCTGTCTGCCAGCCTTCTGAAATTAGACACGGAGGGCAAGACACAAATAAAAACTGACAAATGCGGTTTTGGCACTGAACAAATTCAGTGACATCAAAGCGTATGCCCATTAGCTAGTAGTGCTTCAGAGTTTCATAGCAAGGTGGAGTGTCTGATCGCATGGTCTTGTCTCTGCAAATGTGAACTCAGAGCCAGTCAACTGGCTGCTTTTACTGCTACTTACTTCTAAGCTGATTCCTTTATCTAGGTTGTTTCTCTTTGGACTCTCACAGAGGATGTGCAAGGCCATTACCTAACTGATCACCTGTACTGTACAACCTGTGAGTACGTCTTGTGCTAAGATTAATGTATGTTTTGGTCTCCGCTGGAAAGGAGTCCTGCGAGTTTGATAACTTGGTATTTAAAGTGCTCGTGTTTCTTTGGGACTTGGTATATGTTAGTAAATCTGTACTGCAATAGAACAGTAAAAAAACTTATGCCAAGTGTTTTATGAACATGGAGAAGAGAGAGATTTACAATCTGAATAAAAGGTAAGAATGAGTGGTGGAGAAAATCGAGCAATGCTGCTTGGTGCGACTAGCAAGAGTATTGGTGTAATAACACTGTAAGCATTTTCTTGGTTTTGTTGTTTTGTGAGCAAAAAACAGATTTGAAGGAGAACAAGAATGTCATTTTCCAGCTTGGCTAAGGCTGAAATTTTTGTGAGCAGCTTCACCTGGTCTGGAGCTGTGCTCTTGCAGAAGCGGATGTTTTCTTGTAGTTGTCACGGAGGACAGAGATAGAATCCAGCTGACCTTGCAGCTACCTGAGCAATAGTTGCTGATGCAAGGCTGGAGAGACTGTTTGGGTGTTTGGGGCAGAAGTGCATGGATTCTTGAAGATTAACTTATGCCAATTGTGAAACTGAATCACCACTCTTAGTGACTCTATTTTTAGCAAGGCAATGTGCTTACCTTAGGTTTCTTTCAAATGTTAGTATGAATGACAAGAGTGTGCTTGTGATTTCTGAGGGCAGTACATGAAGAGTTGGGGCACAGATCATGCTATGAGCACTTTTTGCATGAAGAACAGTCTCCTTCATACACGTCCTTTGTGCCTTGTATATCTATGTCTGTCCTACATGCTGTAGCTCAGGGTGGCACCCTTTGTTTTTTTCTGATTGTTTTGGCTATCAGCTGAAAAACAGGGCTGCGAGTTCATCTGCTGTTCTGTGTGCAGGGGAAGCAGCAGAGGACACATCTATGTGCTGCCTTGAAAAGGCATTTCATAAGCCTGGTTTTTAATCTTGCTGTATAAAGTCAATGCTTTCATAGAACCATTAATAATTAAGGTTAGAAAAACCTCTAATATCATAAAGTCCAACTGTCACTCCAACACCACCATGACCAGTAAACCATGTCCCGAAGTGCCATGTTTACATGTTTTTTTTGAACACCTCCAAGCATGGTGACTCCACACTTCCCTGGGCAGCCTGTTCTGATGCCTCACCACTCTTTCAGTAAAGAAATTTTCCCCAATATCCAATCTAAACCTCCCGTGGCACAATTTAAGACCATTTTCTCTTGGCTTGTCACTTGTAACTTGAGAGAAGGGACCAACGCCCACCTCCTTACACAACCTCCTTTCAGGTTGTAGAGAGTGATAAGGTCTCGCCTCAGCCTCCTCCAGACTAAATAGCCCCAGTTCCCTCAGCCCCTCCTCATAAGACATGTTCTCCAGATCCCTCACCAGCTTTGTTGCCCTTCTCAGTTTAAGATGCATGGGAAGAGCACTTACGTTTAATGAATCAGTAGCTTTGTAGTTTGGGGTTTTTTCCCGCCCCTAAACTGTCTCTGTAAGAGAGATCAAAAAATGGAGGTGAACTTGATGGAAGAGTTTGTCAAACAGTTCTGCTCTCCCTATCATATATAAGAGGATGGATTTTTGCAGTTGAGACTTTGGTCCTCAGATGCTTGATTCCCTGCCATACTCCTTACTTTTGGCAAACTGATGAAGTTCCTGGGTCAATGAAGTGGGGCAGTTCATTAACTTGATCGTAACCAGTTTGAAAAGGGAATATCCACACAGCAATTGTATGAGAGCTGTTTGCTGAAATGACTTGTTGCCACTTCTACAAAGCAAAAGAAGAATAAGCATACAGCTGGTAATCTTAGGGGGTGTGAAGAGCAGGGCCAAATGTAGTACCAAACTGTGCCTGTCTGCCTTAATTCCAGAGTGATAGCACTGTTGCAACCTTTATGTCTGACCTGTTTTACAAATCTAAAAAAAAAAACAAACGGGGAGGGAGGAGATATTTGTCTTTATCATATCATTCAGCCTTTTTCCTTGTTAGAACAAGACTGTCTTGCAGAGAACATGAAGGCTGAGCCTGCATCATATTTAACAAGTGAAGTGTGGTCCTTGGACTTCGGGCAGATGACCAAAGGAGTCCGGGCTTGGTAACTCCTGGATGTTATTTGACACACCAGTGGCTGACGTGCATATATTTTACTGGCAGGATGTGAATTTTTAAAATCAAGGTAAAAATATGCACAGTTCAGAGGCTGGTGGTGGTTTACTGCATTCAGGAAAAGTTTTTGGGCCTGATTTTTAGTTTCTGTGTAACGAGTAACCAGAAAATAAGTTCTTGTTCTTGCTCAAGATAAGGAAAAAAAGTTATAGTTTGGCTATGATGACTTTGTCAAGACAGAGTCCAGGCTGATTTGGAGATGCTTTACAGAGGCATTTATTTCAAGAGTAGTGAAGGCACCAATTTGCTTGGAAGAATTAGACCAATTTCTGTTTTTTCTTCAGATTAATATCATAGTATGCCATGCTTGTTTAAAAGCAGTCAGCTGTTTTGTACTTTATTCAGTGTAGTGGCTTTAAAACTCTTATTTCTCCCTCTTTTGCTCTAGAAGTGTCTAAGAGCTGTTTGGCTTCTCTTGGTTTCCGTTTGTTGGATCTACAGGGAAGAATTCTTGGCGATCAGTAGTGCAGCTTGCAAATGCGAGCTTCTGGCTTCCTGTCCTGCCCCAGGTGATGCAAGAGTCATAGCATACACAGACAGTGCTGGCTAATTTTATTCTGGCGAGGTGGTAGTTGTTTTTAAACCACCCACAGTGTTCCAAGTTCCTTACCAAGAAAGGGGAGAAGTTACCGCTTAGAGAACTGTACAGCTTAAACTACAAAACCAGTCCCTTCAGTGTGCGGAGTTTTTTGCCCCAAGAGCCGTTGCTGTTCTGGCTACAATAATACTGTGCAACTGGAGGAGAAAAGTGAGGAAATGACAAAGCAATTCAAGGGCTGACAATGGATTACACTGGGGTACAGACAGGTGAAAGCACTGCAAGAAACATGTCCGGTTGCTGTTTCTAAGAGTATTGTAATTTAGAAACTTGTTAATAGGACAATGATGTTGAGATTGAAGAGCAGAAATGTGAGGGTCTGATGCTTCAACATTGTGTATGTGTCCATGTTCTTTATGTTTTCAGTCGAATTAGAGTTTAGTTACAGCGATTTTGCGTCTTTCTTAACTTGATTTCAACCGCAGATATATGACAGTGGTGTCAGACTGGAGAATGTGAAGGGTTTTTAATTTCAGTCCTCATGCCTGTTGAGATACTCTTCCAAGTGTGAATCTCTTAGAGCTGAAGCACGATTTTCTGAATTCCGTGGTCATCCTGAGGTGTGAGGGTGTTTCCTAATTAACACTTTGGTGCCGGCTTTAGGACCTGCAGGTGACACCTGCAAGCCTTGATCTTAGGTACTTAACTGTTGATTTTTTTGGTGGTTTTTTTTTAGTAGTTGAAGGAGAACGAGGCATGGAATTGACCATTTCTGCTGGAAGGAAGTAGTGAGGAGGAAATAAGGATATATGCTCTTAGAGGAAGGACAATGGAGGATTAGAGGAGAGGGAATTACGGGTCCTAATTGTGCTGTACAGGTGTTAATTTTCAGGGAGGTGCTTACACCAGGGGGGCTGCTGTGTGCATTCTGGTTTTACCAGCAGGGCAGGGAACTGCAATGTATGGCTTGGGACAAGGGAGGAGTGCCTCCCTCCTACTCATCTGCGCTTCAGCTGTTGCCTGACCTCACACCTGTGTGCAAAATAAAGAACTAAACATGAAAATTTGGTCCCTGGGGGAACAGTCGTCTGTTTGTGCCAGACTGCTGCCAACAGAGGAAGATCACTTGTGGGTCGAAGGTGATAAATAATTCTTGAACACAACACAGAAATAGCAATGAATGGATTTCAGCCTTCTCTGCAGAATGAGTTTAATGTACCGTATTTTGTCAGGTTTTGATTTGACATTGGTAATCTGCTAGTTCACTACATCAAGGGTGATAGATATGCTGCTAAATTTTATTGCGTTTGTTTTTTGGTTTTTAGTCGAGTTTTTGGGGGGTTGAATGGGTTTTTTTTGGTGGTGGTTGGTTGGGTGTTTTTTAATTAAAGAGCAGAACTACAGTACCTGAAGGGGGCCTGCAGGAAAGCTGATGAGGAAGTGTTCACAAGGGTGTGTAGTGACAGGATGAGGGGCAATGGTTTTAAACTGGATCAAGGCAGATTTAGATTAGATGTTAGAAAGAAGTTATTTACAATGAGGGTGGTGAAACACTGGCACATGTTGCACAGAGAGGTGGTGGAGGCTCCCTCACAGGAGACATTCAAGGTCAGGCTTGATGGGGCTCTGAGCAACCTGATCTAGTTGAAGATCTCCCTGCTCACTGCAGGGAGGTCGGACTGGATGACCTTTAATGGTCTTAAAGGTCCCTTCCAGCCCAATGCATTCTATGATTCATATGAGAGTTCACCAAAAGCAACTTGTAAGTTTAACTTCTGTCTGAGAACCTCTAGATTTCTCTTCTGGCCTTGCAGAAATATTTGACAGAGGATTTCAGAACAATTTCCTAAGGTTGTGCATTTTTTAAATTGGCATTAGTTTTCTTTTTCTTTGTTGTCTTCTCTTTCTTCAGTTGGCTTCCATAGGCTTTGAAACTATATTCTTTGGTGACAGAGAGAGCAAACTTGATGGGTGGAGTAGAGGTTGTAGAATATAATTATAATCTTGGGCTGTGATTCTACATCACTTAATTCCAAGTCAGCTTCCTATCCTCCACTTTGTTCTTTCACTCACGTTTTTTCTCAGCGCGTTGGGACAAAGCCCTGTTAGACCTATTTGCTGTTAGTGCAGCTGCCCTCTGAACAATGTCTGTGGAGTGATCCAGCATAAGACCCTCCTACATCAAAGTGTGCTTTGGCAGGCAGTGTAAACATTTGTTCTGGTTTAGTTTGTAACCATATGGTTGCATAAGTTTGAGCTGACATTACTCTGGGTGCAATGCTGTCTGTCTGAAGAGTTGTAGGTATAACTGAGTTTTCTGCCAGGGGGATAGTGACATAGAGCTCTAATTTCTTGTCTTTTTTGCAGGATGAGATATGTAGCCAGATATCTTTTTTTAGATGTTGCACCAAAGGTGCTATATTTAGTTGCTATTCTCTGTGTCTCACCTGAAAATAAACTCTAATTATATAAATGTATAATATGTCAGTTTGCCAAAGTGAAAACTTCACGGTAAGTGTCTTGTCTAGGAGGCAGGAGACTTGCGCTAAGCCCACTGAGGCTTACTGGCTGCTTTGAGGTGGGTTTCTTCCAGGGAAACTGGAAAACGATATTGTTCTGTCACAATATTGAATGGGGGATTTTTTTTTTTTAAATTCAAGGATTTTATTAAATGGGAAACTTTCAATGACAAATTCACATCTTCTCTCTTCCATCACTGTGTAAACAAAATAGGATGATTGGAATAAACTTTGCTGTAATTGTTAGTTTTAAGAATGAATTTGTGTGTTTTTTCAGCCACACTTGCAGCAGTTCTGGGTTACCACTTGAAAAGAATGTATTTGAGTATCTTGTTTTTCTTATCTGTTTGATGTTGACATGCATCTCCTATTGGGGTGTTTTGTTTGTTTTGTGTTTTTTTTTTTTCCCCCCAGTTATTTGTAGTCGATGTCCAGACTGGACAAATTACCAAGATTCCTATTCTGAAAGATCGGGACCCTGGCATTGTGAACCAGCAGGGATGTGGTATTCATGCCATTGAGCTCAACCCCTCAAGGACCCTTCTGGCCACAGGTGGAGACAACCCCAACAGTCTTGCAGTTTATCGTCTGCCTACGCTCGATCCTGTCTGTGTGGGAGATGTAAGTGGGAGTATTCGGGAAAGGTTTATCCTGTCACTTACAAGGATTACTAGTTGAAAGTGCCTGACATCAGAACAAGGTTAGGAGAGTAAATTTCCGAAAGGTGGAAAACATTTCTGGTTAAATTTGGGGGGGTGGTTTTGGTTTGTTTTTTTTTTTATGAGGTATCTTAAATATGAGTGAGTACGTAAAAGTGAGACAGTTCTCAGTCAGTTTTTTTTTCTTGCTCACTCTCATTCAGGTGTAATTCAGATTTCTCTTAAGCACTGAAAATATAACAAAATCCCAGATGTTAAAGTCTAATGGTGGTGATGACCTCTGAAACTAGTTTTAGTGAAAAAGCTTTTTTGAAAAGTTGAGAAGTGGAACAGTTTTTCAGATTTTACTCTTCTCCAGTGTAGCTTATGTATATATTATTGCAGAGGTGGATCTTGGCTTTGAGGATTAGTTCTAACCTAATGTCTTAACGGCAGTTTGATAGACTCTGGTATTGCTTATATTTCTGAAATGTCATGAGGTCTTTCTTAAAATGGCAAGTCTTAAAAAGAAAAAAGCTGAAATGAGTATAGTGGTGTTCTGTAAGCACTTCTCTCTCATCTCACCTTTTTATTCAGGACTTCACATAGATGTTAACTACAACAGCAGAGGTCAGGCAGATTTTCTGGAGTAGCAGATAACCAGCTGCAGAAAGGCTTGACTTGGAAGATTTGACTTGCTAAGCATTTGTGTGCTGCTATGACTCTGCAGCTTTGCAAACAGAGCTAGAGCCTTCTGGTCCACTCTTTTTTCCCCCCACAGGTTTCTCACCTGCAAAAGAAAAGATTCTTTAATAGTCTGGAAAAAATAATCTGTAGGTCATATATTGTAAACAGATGATTTTGGCTATTTTTTTATAGTAGGGATGTGCATTTGAGGAAATAAAAGTGTGTAGCTACCTTACAGGAGTAAAGAATGCTGGTTTCAGAATGGAAAAATGTAAGTGCTTGAAATTGAGATCAATTTGTCCTTGGTCAGAGACATTTATTTTCCATCACCTAATAGCTCTCTATTAATTATACACTTCAAAATTAAAAAAAAAAAAAGTTTTAGGTACTTAAATGGCTCCATCTTGTTACTGGGAATCTTATCTATGGGCTTTTAATGTAGGTCTGTCCTGAGTTTGTACTAAAAATCAAAGTGAAGCATTCTGGTCTGCTCTGAGGTTACGCCAGAGTATAATCACAGAAACACAGAATGTCAGGGGCTGGAAGGGACCTCAAAAGATCATCTAGTCCAGCCCCCTGCCAGAGCAGGATCACCTACAGTAGATAATGGGCACAGGTAAACCTGTCTCTTTTTTTTTTTTTTTTAGGATGGACATAAGGACTGGATATTTTCAATTGCATGGATCAGTGATACTATGGCTGTTTCTGGTAAAGTCAGGGGGTTTTTTTCCTCTCCAGAGTTTTATACTGATGTACAACGCTTGATGGGTATTGGGGAAGCATCTTTATGAGAGCATTTGAACTTGGAACTACCTTGGCTATTTAAACCTTTCTTGGTCTTAGTGCAGTGTTTCATTCTGTTTTGTTTGTAGGGCCCTAGTTTAGCTTAGATTTTTCTAGTGTCAGAGGGAATATTACTATCTCACTGGTAGGAGTTGCCATGAGAGGATCTCTACACAGAAGGAGTTACAGGGAAGGATTCCACACAAGAGGGGTGTTGGTTGTCAGTTAATAACTTTGAAATACAGCAGTAGCAGCTTCCTGAAATCTTATAAGAGACTAAATATGACAAAACTGATTTTTCCTTAATATCTGTGCAGTTGTGTGTGTTTGTGTGTGTGTATGCACTTACACTATGGCAGTTAATACAGAAGGCTGTAACAGAAAAGATCAGTCATTGACTTTTTAGAACTGGTTGGATAGTCAGTGCAATGTCATGTTACTTAGGAAAAGGCAGCAATACTAATATATTATTGCATTAATTTAGTAGTTTAATGTCTTTCTGTGCTAACAGGACATAGTATTCTATACAAGGAGCTGTCAAACTGCAAGTGACAGAAAATTCTAACAGTCTAGTATAAAAATTAGGTACTTGAAGTGTTAGTTTAGTGATTTCTGTTTTGGTTTTGTTTTTAAACCGCAAAAGCTAATCCTGCTATTTGATTTTGAATTTAGAAGCTGATCCTTGCAAGTCTTCAACCCGAATAATGGCATTAAATAAGCAATCAGCTACTAAATTTGAAGAGAACAGCAAAGATGATTACAGATATCCAAGGGAAAGATAAGGACCCAGTCGAATAGAGACACATGTGAGATTGAGCTGTGTTGCTCTCAGTGTTTTCTGCGTGCTTGGGTCGAGGTGTGAGTAGAAGACGGACGTGTTCTGTGCTGTACGGTGCCTACAGCAGGATGTAGATTCTCCAAAGCTGAGACACCAGGGAAAGTTGTTGAAAGCGTCTGATTGCTAAACTGAGTTATTCAGAACAGTGAAGTTCTGAAAATTATCTTTAATCAGGAGAAAACAAAGACAACTAACTTCCAATGGTTTAATCTTAGAGTTCAGTTTCATCTGTATCTGGGATGAACAATTCCTTGGATAACATGAGCCTGGGGTTACAAATGATATTCTCCTTGGCATCAGGGCTAACCAGTTGAACCACGTAGATTGACTTTTTCCCCTGCTAGGGCTATTAAAAGGGACAGCTTCCTCCTAAAGTATGTTGAGATGTTTAGAAATTCTACTGCTGAGTATTCAGCCTCCAGAGAAAAACAAGACTAAGTGCCATTAAGATCATCAGCCTGTAAACAGAGTGTCAGGATGTTGTGTCACGTGCTGCCTGCTGCTATGCAACTGTCATCAGGACGCTCTTTTGTGTTTAGCTGTAGTAAATGGTAGTGGCAAATGGCTGAATCCTCTCTGCTCTGCTGGATCACCTTTATTGCTACACAGTGTTTTGCTTAACTGTCTTTGCAGCTTATTGCCCAGGATGTGCCAAAGCGTATAAATTTAATCGTCTGATGTACTGAGTGGTTTCTGGCATCCTCATGCATTCCCTGTGACAGAAAAAGGGTTGTGTTTTTTCACATGTTGTAGGGAAGAAATTGAGGTTCTTCATGTCGAATCTGTCAGGGCTGACTTAGATGGAAGTGAGCTCCCTAAATTCCAGAAGGGATTGGGTATAGGGCCTTGGATTAAGCTTGTGTTGATCTATGAACCAAAGTCATTCAGCTTTCTTCATCCTGTATCGTTACTCTCACTGATTTACATTTTTGGATTAGAGTGTTCAGGAGAAAAATAACCCCATTCCCTATGTTATGTTCTTTAAACAAGAAGCTGTGCAGGTTCTTAGCAAAATAATTTTTAAAATGGATTTCATCCAAATTGGTACAAATTGTTGTTTAAAATAGCTGTTTCTGTTCCCTGTACAAATGTGTGTGTACATATCCATAAGCATACTGGTAGAAATCAAATGGATGTAAATCCAACCAAATTTTCTTGGAATTCAATATCACCTTGGTAACTCAGGTAAAGGAACGAGTAAGCTATTAGGTCATCTCTGACTTTATTCTATGTGAGATTCTCCAGTGGTGATTATTGTACAGGATTCTGGGTTTTGATGCATCCTAATCAGTTTGAAAATACATGAGGTGATCCAGCTGCGTCGAAACAATGCAGGCAGACTGGATGTCACCAAGTTCACAATGTTATGAACTTTACAGTTCAGTGAAATTACTTTTTCCCTAATAATAATTAATATATAGGCACTAACAGTGTGTTCAGTTAGATTAAATTAATAGCATCTTTTCTTTCTTTGAGACCCTATTGTTTATTCCTTTTTTAATAAAAAAGTGGAGTTATGCGCATATGAGTTGGACTGTTTGTTTATTTATGGATTATTTATTCAGGTTCACGGGATGGTTCGATGGGTCTCTGGGAAGTTACAGAGGATGTGTTGTCCAAGAGCGATGCCAGGCATAACCTCTCTCAAGTTCCTGTCTATGCCCACATAACACACCGGGCCCTGAAGGATATCCCCAAGGAGAACACCAATCCTGACAACTGCAAAGTCCGAGCATTGGCTTTCAACAATAAGAACAAGGTCAGTAAAATAAGCCAGACAGCTGAGAAGTCCTAAAACTGTCTGTATGTAATAAAGAAGGAGAAAAAAAAATCTAAATCAAAAATACTGGAGAAGCAACCTTTTTTTTTTTTTCCCTCCTGTCCTTAATGATGTGAGGTGTGGTATTCTTCATCTATGTCTGATTCTGCCCCACATTAATGGAAAAGTCCAGTAAAAAGAGGGAAAAAGTGTTTTCAGAAATAACAGTTTCCTGTGGGGTTGTTTTTAGACTTGCAACCTGTGCAGGGCAGACGGAGGAGTGTTTACCTGAAGCAGATAAAGCACCGAAACGTATCTTGCTGCGTGAATCCCATTCTTGAGTGCTGTTGCTGCTTTCCTTCCCCTTTTGTGAAGACCAGCTAACACTGGGGCAGTTCCTGTTTCGATGGCTGAGTCGGTGCTGGGTTGCTTGGCCAGTGAAGTGACTGACACAAAGGGCAGGCGCCATGCTTGCTTGGGTGTTACTTTGTTGGCATGCGACAAACAGTAAATGTTAACCTCCTCTATGCTGATCTCTTCTTATTACTCATGAGAGTAGCAAGTCATGCTCCTCTACTTTTCCACCTGCCCTCAAAGATCAGAGGTCTGAAGCAAAGGTGGGTGTGGTCTGAGAAGCAAGGTGCTCCTGTGGCCTTTATTTTTCACTATAGCTGTTAATTACTCTTCTGTGATGGAGACTTTATAGAGCTTTTTTCAGTAGATTAGTGCCTGGAAATAAATGTTTACTTCAGAGTCAGAATCAGAGTGGGAGCTGCTGAAGAGAATGATCAGCTGTAGCTTGTACTGTCTAATAACTTGATGTTTAATTGTCTAACAAGATCTATACTTCTGAAAATTAGTTTTGGTTATTTACTATTTTGTTAGTTCTTACCTGGCACCTTTGTGCTGTATTGCATGTTATCAATATCAGTATAAAATGAAAATTTATCTTGATGGATGAGTTTAATCCAGAGCGTGCAGCCTAGGAGACTGTGAGTTTGTAAGGATATTTGTACAGGAGCTAACTCTCTCTTTTTTTTTTTTTCTTTAAGGAGCTGGGAGCTGTGTCCCTAGATGGATATTTTCATCTTTGGAAAGCAGAACACACAATATCAAAGGTACTTTTCTTTTTGTTAGTGTTAAATTGCAAAAATTGCCTAGTAGTTAAGATTGTTCACTATTCTTCATCTCCTTTAAATGCTTAAAAAAAAGGAACAACACTGGTTGTCAAATACCTAAATGCTTTATGTAAAATGAAATGTCATAAAAATTAGAACTCAGGAGAGAAGTGCCCCACTCCACTTGTTTTGGAAAGTGAGAAGTGCTCTTAACTTTCTTCAGTGTGGACTGATCTGAAGTGAACTTTTTTCCCTGGGTCAGGTTGTTCCTTTTCTCTTAAAGTTCTGTTTTTGCGGTGAATTTATGTTTTAGCTGCACTTTGTGGATTTGGCTTTTTTTGTTTGGTTTTTTTTTTTTAATCACCGCAGCTTCCTTGAACATAGCTCACAGAATTGTTATATTAACATCTTGCGCTTTTTTTCTCATAAATTGGATTGCTTTTTATTTCTTCTGTTTCCAGTTACTTTCCACAAAGTTGCCATACTGCAGGGAGAACGTGTGTTTGGCTTATGGTCAGGAGTGGTCGGTGTATGCAGTAGGATCACAGGCACACGTCTCCTTTCTGGATCCCAGACAGCCTTCTCACAATGTGAAATCCGTCTGTTCCAAAGAACGAGGCAGTGGTAAGAAACTTGTGAAAGGGTGCTTCAAATGGTCAGGTTGCAGATGTAGCTGTTAAGACTGCCGTAAGATAAGCTCTGAATAAATAGGAAGAGCTTTTCGTGGGATAGGCTAAATCATTAATAATATTTGTAGCTTTAGGTTTTTATGATGGTATATCTTGAGTAACCAACAAATCAAACATGAAGACAACTCTGAAATATAGTGATAAACACTGCTGCTTTTATGATCAGCTAAATTGTACACCATCCAAATATTAGTGAGCTTTTAAAAATGTGTATTTTGCTTCTACTTATTTTTCACTGTCTTACTCTTCTACTTCATCTCAAAGCAAATCTAGTCTTCATTCCACTGTTAATACTGTTTGTTCTGGCATTTTTTTCTGAGAACGGAAAAAAAGCAGGATGTCTGCTCTGTTGGGAGTCTGTGCTGTGAGTGAATGCTTGCTTAAAGTCATAAGTGATACTCCTAATTTTCAATGTATATTTATTTGCTTCAAATATACAAAAGCTCACTTTAAAGAAAAAAAAGGACAAAAAAAAAAAAGCTTGCAGATTTCAGCCTGTAGTGTTGTTCTGGTGTGGATGCAGTATGTCCAATTGCACTTTTTATGAGGGCTGAGCCTGAGAGCTTGCAGGGTACATGCTGCCATAAGCTTCTTCCCATACCCCTTCTTTTCAGGCGTGAGAAGGCACTGTGTTGTGAAGCCCATTTTAAACCGTACTAATCCCAGACTAGTAAGTGCAGTCCTTACTTAACTTGGCTGTAGGCATCCATCTCTTCATTGGGCGAGTTATCAAAGAGACCGCATGTAGGCAAGTTTAATTCATGTGATCACTGGTATTTGAACAGTGCTGCCTAGGTAAATGTCAGGGTCTGCTTCTTTCAGATATAGGAGAACTCTCTGTAATGTGAGGAAAGGTGCTTCACCAGATCGTGTTGTCACCTGAACATCCGACCAGCAACAGCCCTTGTCCTGACCCACTGTCCCTAAGAGCTCTGCAGAGATCCTGACGCTGTCACCCTTCAGTATCGTAGGAAAGAAATACTGAAATACTTGGTGCCCGGTGGTGGCTGGTGGCTTCCACCTTGAGTATGCGAGCATCCCTGCGGGGCAGGGGTGTGATCTGTGTGTAGGTGGTATCTCTGGGGCATCTCCAGTTCATGTCTTGAGAAAGCCCTTGTTCAATGCTGTCTTCTCTTTTGCATAGTAGGTGGATATTTTTAGGTATTTTTATTTTTTGCATAGTCATGGAGGCACTTAAGCAGTATTAATTCCCAATATACTGAGCATTTTAACTTCTTGTTGATCTCACTGGGACTTGGAGTGTTGCAGCACCTCTAGAAAGCAGGCTCTTTATTGATTTGCAGACTAAAACCTAGGTTGCCTTTTAAGTGCATTGAAGTGTTACCTGAACAAGCCTTCAGCTTCCTAATGCATGTGCTGAATGTGGTAAGTCCACCTTAACTTCACATCACTGGGGTTGTGCATAGAAGCAGGTCAGAGAAAGGTGGTTGCTTTGTAAGACTGGAACCAGGGCTGGTTTTCACCCAGAGTAACCCTGCTTGTCCTGCATGAGGAGGCAGATAATGCATTTCAGTGCATCTTGTAAGTGTTGCTTTCCTTAGCAGCTGTACAGGGAAATGCAGGCCCTGGACTTCAGCTCCTGATCCACAGGAGCAGCTGCTTTCTGCTTCACTGCTTTGGTGCCATGCAGTGTCATGTGCCCTTGACCCCACACCCTGAAGGCAGCGATGTGAACGTAGTGGACAGAGCTTGTGCGTCACGGACTCTCTGTCCACTTACTGTGTAGGATACACTACTGCATCTTCATTTCCTTCTGGGACTGGCAGAGCCTCCCTGCCTTTATGGAGTGAGACTCAGTTTCTTTTCCCAAATAGTCCAGGTCCACAGGTGACAGAGCACTAGCTGTATAGGAGGGCTTACTGTAATCAGTTCTAGGCACAGTTTGTGCTTTTAGTTTGATGGGAATGATTAATATGAGGTACTTCAGGCCCTCAGGAACCAATTTGAAGTGCTGTTCTTCAAAGTCTGTCCTAAACATCCTCTTAGTAATGGATACATTACAGATTCCTTCAGTGTTCTGGGTTTTTTTACTGCAGAAAGGTCGACAGTTCTGCTTTTTATTAATAAATTGCATTGAAAAGTATATGCTATCTGCTTTTATACTCCATCATCTGTTCCTGTTGAGTAAGTGTTCTACTGCGTTGCTTGTCAAGAACACTTCTGGAGCAAAAATAAGAGGACGTCCTCTTTTGCACCTTCTTCTCTTATCCAAGTGACTGTTCTTGCTGATTTCGGAGAGCTTAAAGCTTTCTGTATGCGTTTGCCAGAGCCAGGCCCTTGTGATAGGAGAGGGGAAATGTATTCAGCTTGCTCAGATGGATTGGTAGTTCTCTGTATTCAAGTGAACATTCTTTTATGAATCTGGTAAATCTAATTCAGCAGGTGTGAGATGTGCATGGTGGCTTCTCACCTCTGCAGCCTGCAGCCAAGACTTCACCTCGCATCTGGAGCATGACAGTGTAGCCTTGCATGTTCTCTAAGTGTATGTTGCGGATGCTGGTGGCTGTGTATGTAACGTCAGGTTGTGGAGGCGGAAGGATGAGGATGTTTTTTTTAAGTTATGACTGTACATAGGGGAAAGGGAAACTGCCTGGCTGCATCTGCACCTCTTGGCTGTCTCCTGTCACACGCGCTGCTGGGTGTATTCCGGCATGTTACAAGTTTTGTGACGTTCAGTCCCACTTGGTGCAGTGGCAGCAGTTGGCACGTGGACGTAGCTGGCACAACTTGCCCTTTTCCCCACCTGTCTGAACACTTACTTAGGCTGTGGTTTGGTGTTCATGATGCGTGCTTGCTCATGGTGTGTTCACTCAGAGGGTCGTGGCAGACAGAACAAAGCCGCTCCTAATACTACATGGTGTTTGATCTTTGCCTGTTTGGCAGAGCTGGGGCCTGCTGAGAATGGAGCTTCTTACTCTGCACCAGCTACACTTAAGCTGGTGGCCTTGGAGAAGGGAAGAAGCACATGTCATGTTTCGGTAGCGTCAATGGGATTTGTCAGCACTGCTCCATGGCAGTGCGGAAACCTATGTGTTGTGGAGAATAGTAGTAGGTAGTTCCTCTTAAATAAAATATTAAGCATCAAGCAGCAGCACTGCAGAGCCAAAGCATCTGTCTTCTTCCTTACTGTGTTGTATGTCCCTTCTCCGTCTGACAGGTATTCGATCGGTGAGCTTCTACGAGCACATCATCACAGTGGGAACGGGGCAGGGTTCCTTGTTGTTTTACGACATCAGAGCTCAGAGGTTCCTGGATGAAAAGCCCCCACATGCCTGCTATGGACAGAAGCAGAAATTAGGAGGAAGTGAAATTTTGAAGTTGACTACTGGGGAAGGCTGGCTGGTGAGTAGCTCGGGGCTGTAGGAGACCCCTTATGGTGGAGTGCTCTAGCGCTCAAGAACTGGTTCTTTTTATACTAAAGGGAGCTGTTGTGTGAAATGTGTCCCAGCAAAACAGTGATTGGGTAACCAAAAACTGTAATCGTGAAAAGCAGCAAGTGCTGCAAAATTTCTTTCTGCAAAAGTTTTATGAAAGAGTATTGAAGGTTGGTTGTTTTAGTGTATAAGGCATACTGACTGTAATATCCCTGCCCATGGCAGGGTGTTGGAATTAGGTGATCTTTAAGGTCCCCTCCAACCCAGACCAGTCTATGATTCTATGATACTGTCTGCATGCACTGATTAATAAATGAGTTCAATTTTAAATCTTTACATTTTTTTTAATGTAATCTAACACTTAGTTTTCAGAACTTCAAACACAAAATATATTGTCGTTAGGCTACTTTAACTTGGTATTCAAAGATAGAGAGATTTAACTGTGTGCAGTTTTAGAAACTGTGGCTTCCTAAAGTAATGCCATGGGCAGGTGCTTGAGTTCAGTTTCCTGTATGGTGTCATAAAGCAGTTAATGTAGAGAAGTTAGACAAAGCCATTATATTTTGTATCACTGTGATGTAACTTTAATGAAACTCTATCGTCTCTACCTTTCATCTCCCTTCGTCCAGTGTTTGGCCCAAATATCCTCAGAAAAAGCTTCAGGACAACTCTAGGATCTTCAGATACCAGTTCAAGGTATCTGTCTGAAGCTTCTGGGAGTATCAATGGAAAAGTTCCCTTTTTAGGTTCTGGAAGCTACCTTCTGCTTTTGTGAAGCAAGGTTTTGGGTTCATTTGACAACAATAACAACCTAAACTTTTCTTCAACAGAATCGTGATGAAACCTGGAGGAATTATTTTTCTGACGTAAATTTCTTCCCAAATGCTGTTTACACCCACTGCTACGACTCGTCTGGAACGAAACTCTTTGTGGCAGGAGGCCCCCTTCCCTCAGGACTTCATGGGAATTACGCTGGTCTCTGGAGCTAATGACAACTCTTTATAAATGCTGGTCTTGACAAAATTTCCACTTTTCTTTTCCTTTTTTTTTTTTTGACAACAAAATTGTGTGATGCTATTGATTTCTGGTTTAAATGCAAGTTATTTTTTGGCAGAGTTTTCTGTTGGTCTCCAAAAGTTTGATACATCTTTTTGAACCATTTTTTTGCTTTAATCTCCTTGATCCTTTGTATGAAGGGTTTTTGCAATCTCTTTATTGTATTTACTCCAAATGACTCTTCCCCCACATTTAGGCTACCTTGGCCATGTGCCCCCTCCCCTACTTTGCTGTGAGGTAGGATTCCTTTCTTACAGAGTGATTGCTCCTGGGCTTTCTGTGAAAGTCTAGGGGCTGCATGTGTGCAGGTACTTTGTGTCAGTTACATAACCCAGAGCGAGGACTACTTGTAATTAAAAAATATTAAAAATATTTATAAGAGATAAGCTACTACTTTATCTGCAGAGCCTAGCTCTGGCCTGGGTTGATGATATTTTTTAAAAGTACAAGTCTAATGACACTGTTTATGTGTAGAGGAATACAGTAATTTTAAGCTGTACTCATTGGAGCCCGGGGATGGATTTTCCAGGGGTATTGCCCATTGGCCCAAACTGCGTAAATGCAGGAGTTCTCAAAACTGCATTTGTATTTGAATTGTAGTTTTCAGCAGTACTGGGAGCAAAAATTGGTCTTTTGTTCCTTCTCTGGCTGTCCCAGGTATCAGCTTGCACACCTGGAGTTTGTGTAGGCTGTTTGCAGCGTGGCTGTTGCAGGGTGATGTGACGTTGAGGGCTTAACACTGAGGTGCTGAGAGGAAAAGGGCACTAGGGACATGAGTCATTCAAAATGAACAAAATCTATCCATTTTCCAGATGAGCCAAGGTTCCTTAGTATGCTGCTTGGTATGCTCATGTTCGTCATAAACTGCCTAAAACCCAGGACTGTTCTTGTCCTAGGGTGTGGAAGCTTTCTGTTGTAGTTGTTCTGTTTGGCCATCACCTCTAATAAGCCAATGGAATAAATAAACTGGTTTTTGTTCTTCAGGGTTAGAGAGTGCATCTCGGACTTAACTAACACGAGCTAGAAGCTTTCCATGTGGTGAGCCAAGTTGCTGTTAGCTCACGTTGCACTAGCATCTACTGTCATCCTGCTTGCAACAGGAGAGGCTCAGTCTTTTCCCAAATCCCCTGCTGTCTTCTTCATTCCAACCCCCTTGAACTTCATGTGGGACTGAGTGGGAGGAATAGGTCTGATGCCCTTCAGTTCCAGCTGTGAAGCATGAGCATTCCAGGGTGATGGTCTTACCTAACACCTAGAGCTAAAATGCTCCAGGGTGCTCCTCCTAGCCTTTTGGCAGGCACCAAACTCTTAGCTTGTTACTGACACCTCTGCTGAGATGATTGCCTGTCCCCTGGCCCTGTCACCAGTGGAGCAGAGTGTGCCTGTGCCTCACTGCTTTGGAGCCAAATGGGCAGTTGGTTGAAGCTGAGAAGACAGGCAAGGCTGGGATGTGCTCTGTTCTCCTGGCTCTGCTGGAGACCAGAGCCACCGCTGCAGAGTAGCTCTAGGCTCTGATGCAGTTCCTGCCAGGCTGCCTAAAGCTAGCCTGCACGTGCGCCTGCAGTCTCTCTCTGTGTACTTACCTTTATCAGTAATGCCAAGTAGTGAGCCTCAGGCTTTATTTCCAGGTGATAGTGGAGGCTTGGATGGAAATCCTTCAAGGAATGCAGTTCCCTCCCAAACAGGTGAAAGTCCTGGCAGAAGAAGAACTCTCCTAGATATGTGTCCATCCCAGAAATAAAACTTATATCACGGAGCACTGACATGGGTGCTTCACAAAGAAATCTTGCAGCACTTCATAATTTTATTTCCCATATGGGTTGGCTGCGTAAATTTAATCAGTTTGCGGCTCTGTGTGCGTGGCTACTTAAGCTTTTCTCTGAAAAGGGGCAAATTACATACCATGGTGTAGCGAAGGAGGTCTCAAATTTTATTTAGAGTTGTCTGATGTTTTTTAAAGATATTGTAATGATGCTTATGTTGTTTTGCAATGTGACGTACTGCTTTGGTTATTTAAGGTGTTTTTGAAAAGTAGCAGTATACAGAGAAGAACAAGTCTTGGCTAAGTATGGCAGGATATTTATTTTTATGATTGCTCCTTCAGCTGCTGTGTAAGATAACTGTCACAGGGAATATGTTCTGCTTAGTTTTTTAATTTGGACTTGGTTTGACATATTGCTTTCTTTGTTTTTTGTGGTTTTTTTTTTTTTTTTGAAGAAACTAGACACTTGAGTCTACTTCAGTGTCCTCCAGTTCTGCTGAAACAGGTTACTAGTTAGGCACTTAGTGTCACCAGTGCCAAAGCAAAACTCCCAGTCCGCAAATCCAAGCCTTAATGTTGTTCTATTAATTGAAGCATACTCCAAGTCTGGGTGAGGGAGCAAAAAGTGTATTTGTATGGACTGAGCTTCAGCCTCCTAACACGGAGGCTGGTCTTTCTGCAGAGTCTAGAGGTTACTGAAGAAGCACCCTTGAAAAGTGTCCTTCTCTGCTGACTCCTGTCTCCCCAGGTACCTCAGTGTGTGGTCTCAAAACTTGATAGTGTGAGTGCCCTTTTCCTTCTTTCTTTTTCCCTGCATAGCAAGCTTTGGGCAATTCTCAGAAGAATCTGCACAATGATGTAAAATTCCTCAAATCTCGCACATTTCTGCATATTCTGCTTTCAGAGTACTTTCTTGAAAAGAAAACTTCTCATGGGATCATGTCATGGGCCATTGTTGTTGCTGTATGAAAATCTTCCCCCTGAAAAACTGGAAACAAACTAGACAGTGCTGTGAGCACATAAATAAATTGGGCCAGAGAAAGGTAATTTCTAGCTCATTTTGGTGGTTTTAAATGCTTGTGAGGATACAGGTGTTAGATTTCAGAATATTTTGTCATTGGTCATTTATCACTCTTTGGCCCAATCACTGTTACAAATTGAGGTAGGCAGAGAAAGGTACAATATGCCGACTGTCCAAAAATAACTGATAGGAGAAATGAGAGAAAAAGCTGGGTTTTCTCACTTGATTTGAATTTGTTGCCCTGTTAGGTTAGATGTCAGAATTGCAATCCAGCATCATGATGAGAAAAGCATTCCTCTACTTCCCATCGAAGTGGAGGAATGGCTATATAGCAGGGAGTCTCCAGCCTCTGTGTGTAAATGAGTTGGGTGCTCCCTGTTACTCAAATGTCAGATACACACTGGTGTAGCTTCTGGAACGGCTCACTGTGCTCTCTTGAGACCTGGTGACGTTCTCATTTTCAGATGATTTTACCTTCTCCAGTGTTTCTTGAAGATTTCCTTCTGTTGCTCTTCCCTGACCTCCAGAATGATCTGTTTGGATTTGCCTCCTCCAGTCCAAATTGTCCCAATCGTGGCAATATTGTGCCTGCAGAGGTGACTTCTGTCATGCAGAAATGGACTTCCTGGCATTTTGTCAAGCCGTGCCCGAGACCTTCAGTTTGCTTTATTTTAAACTGGGTAGACCTTTGAGGCTGGCTCAGACTGTAGAACTGGGCGGTTGGCCTTGTGCACGTTTGACTGATGGGATCCCCCCAGTTACAGTCTGTTCCAGGAACAGACTGGTTTATCTGAGTTAGGCACTTGAAGAAGAGACAAGAACTTTAATTATGACAGACCTTCAGACTTTTTTTCCTGCTGTTGACTTTTGAGTCGTGTGAGATCTTCTGTGCTCCTTGTGGAAGCAGAAGCTATTTTGCAGTGTTGTCTTGAGCATAGCAATGCGGGTGATGCTCACTCTCTTTACCAAACACCTTATTCCTGGTAATTCCTCCAGCTTCATCCCTTGTACAGTCAAGTCAGCCATGGAGAATTGCTAGCGCTCTCCTCAGGTGCTTTCTGGGATTGCAGTAAAGAAGTGAGTCTGTATGATTGGTTCCTTCATCAGTGCTGCTGGTGTTAGTCTGTGGTGAATAAATTACCAAAGAATAGTTGATACGTGTTTATTTCTAGTCTCCATTCGCTTTCTGCATAGATCCATTTTTGAGATTCATTGCAAGAGTGCCCTGTGACCTTACTGGACTTGGTCTGTCCACAAAGGTCACGTTCACATTGTGGGTGACTCTTGTAACCCCCCTGAATGAGGGGGACTCCTGAACTTCATTATGGGGATATATTTGCTGCCTCCATCTCAAGTGTTTGGCAGCTTTTTGTATTTTAAGGATTAAGATACTTTTGTATTGTTACTCTTCTCCAGAATTTCACCCTCTTCCTTCATCTGAGCCCTTGTTTTGTATATAGTTTGCAGCTGCAGAGTTAACAGATGAAAGTTGTACTAGGTAGTGGTTCGGTATCTTAACTTCCACCCCTCAGCTGAGAGGCACTTTACTGATCTTGTGAACTAATATCCCTCCCCTGGTGCAGATGTGAAATAAAGCAGGCTTGCCTAGACTATTCCTGAAGGTCACCTATTTTGTCTGCAAGAAACCAAGAACAAATGGGCTGTCAGTTACGGTATCGCAGCAAAGCAGCATCTTTCAGCAGCCAGGTGGGAGCTCTGAGATCTGTTTCTGGTGGCCTCATACCCTTATTTTCCATAAAGTCATTTCTACAAGCTGTCTTGAGAGTTCTTATATAGCTTCTGTCCAGAGCGCTGCTGTGACTGAATTACTGAACTAAGCTGCAGCTTATTTCTGGGAACAGTGTTGCAGACGTGTGTGTGATGCAGGCAGAGCTGATCCTCTGGCCAGCCCATGCTGCATCTTGGACTCCTGTGCTGGCCAGGCACACGCTGTCTAAAGCCAAGGGGAAATTCCTGCACTGCTGGCCAGCCCACAGCAGAGCCAATGGTGTGACCTCAACCTAAAACACGTTTTCTGAGTGTTTCTGAAGCACAGACGCCAGGAATTTGTTTGTGTTGCAGACAAGGAGGACACAATCACATCTTGTGTGAAGGGACGTCCTGCGTGTGGCCTCCCTTGTCTCTGCAAGCAGAGGGGAGGATGGGCAAGGGGGCACAAGAGAAAGCTCAGCAGTGTTCGGTAATGCTCTTGGGACTCCCAAAGAATTTAAAAATTAAAGGGATGGTTGTTCATTACTCAGGAGGTACTTGTGAAGGGGCTTAATAAGAAACTTTTTCAAAGAGATCAAGTAGATATTCCTGTTCTTCTTTCTCCATGTTAATGTTCAAGGATTTAAATTAGGAAGTATCTTTTTGCTTGTGATGCTGAGTTTCCTTGTCAAAACCATGTGGCACTGGGAAAATTACAAGAATGCCCTTGAAAGAAGGGAATCTTCCCAATTAATAACTAAGTGCCATTTTCTAGTATCCTGCTGGGAGTGGTAATGGTCTAAGGAAAGTGCATGCAGATCTAAACCAGCTATCAGGGTTGGCAGAGCTGGGAAAATGTG